ATATATAAAGTAAATTGACATTGAGCCCCTTTAATGCATATTTGGAAATGTACTGCCTTTGTTTTAGAACTTTGTTGACCTTGCAGTTTTGCCAGTTTGTTTTAGCCTCATAAATCATTCTCACATTCTTCACACGTGTGTTATGACATGAACCTTTTCATGCAAATGTGCCCAATAAATTAGGCTTACAGATTTGGTCTAGTCAGAAGTATATTAGATTGCCCAAGAGGTATTAATATTGAGCTTGGCAATTCCTAAAACCCGTGTTATCAGTGTTGTACAGAATGAAAACATCTGCCCCAAGCCGGACTCGGCTTCTCAGCAGAACCAGTGCCAGCATTTTAATGGGTACATTAATTCCTCTCAGTGTCACTGTGGCCAAATGTGCTCCCTAGGTGTTGTACGTGTATTTTACAAGAAACTTATCACAAGTGTGTATTTAACAGTGTAGGGTTATAGAAGGACTTTATTAGGTGAATGGGAAAAAAAAGTGTGGAGGGGGGGGTTTATCTAGGGCCCAAAATGTTCTATAGGTCATTAGATTAAACTTTTCCTGAAAGAAAAAGAATGGGTGTGGTCTCCTTCTGAAAATGCTGGTTGCCTGGCTATTATGCTGACCCTCTGAAATCAATCATTTCTAGGTTGCAGACCTGGAACAAATATGCAGACAAGAAAGGTCAGAGAAAAGTCAGAAGTCCTTGTCCTGGGTCAGTAACTATGGAAGCTAGAGAGTCATCATGAGGCAAGCAACTAGCATTTGTAGAAAGAAAAATCAGATATGGCAGCCTCTCTCAGGAATGCTATTCTTTAAAGTAGATCCAAATCAAGTTAACAAACTATCATATAAGCTTTAACGTATATGGCTTTGGTAGTGAGGATTTTTGAATGTATTCTTTATTTATGTCTGCGACTCAGCAAGGGGGTTTAGTCTTTCCAAGGGCCGAGTAACACCATGTGCATTGGAGCTGCGCTGGCCGTTTCCAAATGTTTGGAGACTACGTAAATGATTCACTGAGAACATGTATTAGAGCTGTATGCATTTATGCTGCCCAGTTGGACACTCTACTGGTCCATGTTCTTATGGGGCCTTTTCTCATTACTTTTGCAGCATGGATCTAATGTGCTGGATTGACCTTGAGCAGCTCAGAAGAATGCCTCACAAGGATAAAGAAAAAAGACAAGAAAAATCAAAGGATATTAAGAATAAATATTTAAATAAGAAATATTTCTTTGGTCCAAACAGCCCAGCTACAAGAGACCAACAAGAGCAGGTGGCCAAATAATTATATTCTCATTTTTGTTGCAATCTTTGTTAGTTTACAATAAAGATGAAAATTATCGGTGGTTTTACTTCTCTAGTTGCTGTATTAAGTAAAGTGAAGGATCACAAAAAGTCATCACAACAAACACTGACTAAGGCACACATTACAGTATTGGTTTATGTTAAAAAATCTGAGGGTTTAATGTCACTTTAATTTCAGATACGAGAAGAAATATTATTAGGTAGTTTTTCCTGAGAAAATGGAAAAGTTAATAAAGATCTAGGGTCTGTTATATATCTCCCTGTCTGAACCATGCCATCACTCAAGTATTAAAGTTACTTGAAGTATTGTCAGGAATTGGGGTGTATAGAATAGACATAATTGGTAACAAGGGCTTTAAAAGACTGCACTGTTATAGATGTCAATTATTACAAGTTTTAAAGGTCACCTCAACTTTCTTAGTTGAATCACCTTCCAGCTTCTAATGTCTCTCAGAGACTCCAAAGGCACATAGCTACAACAGTATCACTCTAGTTCTTCTCACTTGGCAAAATGTCAGGGTCACTCTCTAGTAGTGGTATTCACAAGTTATCTATATAATCTAGATCAGGGTAGAGTATGTCCATCATTTGGATTTGTAAGTTGCTATTGGTATAACTGGACATTTTGGTGAGATACAAGAGCTACAAGAAGCAAGCATGAGATCCATCTTATTAACAGCCATCAGTGCAGTTGTCTTTAATTAAATATATACTGAATTCCATCTAGCTTTGTTCACCAGATGCCAAGCTCCATGCACACACGTCCATCCATAAATCAGTCATCTATATGGTGACTGCAGGTGTCACTCACTGATGCTTTACTGAAGACAGAATATATTTTTGATGCTGGAAATTATATTGCGCATTAAACATTTATGAACATGTTGGAGTGTACCTACAGATTGATGTGTAGTATAATATAGCATATTCATTGCACAGCTGGAATCACAAAATACAGATGTACTGACCCCTAATGCCTATAAGCATGATCCAATAAAGTGGTCACAGCAGAATGGGACCCTAGACAAGGTAGCAACATTGTTCCCCTATACCTTGGAATGACATTGACACGGTTTAAGCACAAAGCCACCCCATTAGCACTGTCTGTACTGGTATGGCACTATGAGAAACCAACTGCCTACAAATTCATCCTCCCTTGTGAAGTGACAGGCAGGTGCACAGCTTTGACCAACTGTGCTATCCTCCTGGTTGATTGCAGGAGCATAAAGGTTACATCTGGGCAACCCTGGACATTCACTACAAGGCTCCTGCCTAGGTCGCCTTGCAGATAGTGCAGCTCTGGGTCACAGATGTTAGATAACGGTCCAGTGATGTATGCACACACACCAGCTCTCTTTACATGTTCAATAATTTCACAGACATCACTGTTCGAAGAATATTAGAAAAAAAAATACTTTTTTGGAGTGTAAGCTGCAAAATCCTTTGTAAACATTTCTCATTCAAGATAAGTATATTCTTCCATTTAAGACTCCATTAAGAGTTCCATTCGAGTCCCATTTTACCTATCGTCTTTTGCAGGTGATGAATCTGGCAGGAGGCTGGGGGAAAATGCTTCACGATCGTCTATCCTCTGCTGTCCTCGTTGAAATACAGAAATATGTTCGGATGAGGATAGAGAAGAAATGGCTTCCTATGTTCCTGTCAACTGAAGAATATAGGGAACGCCAAAAGATGCAAGTAAGAAACACATTTTATTTAATTTAATGCATTTTACCCTCAGGAACTGGCAGTAACACTGAGCAGATACTCCCTTGACCATTCATGAATATAATGCGTATGTTCCTCATCTTCCCTTTAGCCATCACTTACTTACATCAGGGACATTAGCAGGGTGAGATTTTCTGTAATAATAAATGACAGCCATAGTAAAAAAGAGGAGCCATTACAGTCAGGCATATGGAGCAAGGAATTATTTTTTTCCGAATTCTTGATTGATGTCATCTCCCCTTGGCTTACTCTAACCAGACTATGCACATTCAAGCAGTAAATGAGCTTTAAATCACGTCCTTACTGACCCATGTAGCTGCAGGCACTGTGGATCAGTTCATCCTCAGAGTTTACAGTGAAGAAGTTTCAGTACCTTGGAATTCATTTTTGAGTGAATGAAAGAACAAGTGAGAGACAGATTAGTGGTGCAGTGGAAATCAACCAGTGAAATCAGATAGCAGCTGCGGCTTTGCTTGAGAAGATACGCTATTAGCGCAGCCGGCTTCATCGCTATGCTAATAGCGTATTTTCTCAGAACCTGCACGCAGCGCGCTGGTTTAGATAGTAACCAGCACACGCTCTGTATGCATATTCTGACAGCGTGAGAGACGGGAGTCTGCGCTTGTTGGTTGTTCCAGGGATCAGGTGAGTATTAAAGGTTTATTAAACACTCCGAATATTTTTGCATATATATAAGGCTAGCAAGCAGTAGATATATGCAAAAAGTTGGTCACAGCTAAAAAAAATCACAAGTGAGGTTTAGCTTTGGTATTGTTGAGCATATCCTTTGTAATAGAATGTGGAAGTTTAGGAAGACCTTAGATTAAAAATGCTGCTCCTTTAAACTGAGAGGTGCTAGTACAGTTGGTTTGGAAGCCTCCTGGGATGCTCCTACATCAGATAGTTCTAGAGGAGACCCAGAGAACACTGGCAGGCTTATATCCCCCTAGGGATCTGAGAATTACTGGCAATCCCTCAGACTACTCAGACTGCATCACCCCTTTACCCCTCAGCAATAAATAGTGTGAAAGAGAATGGATGTCTCTTTTTAGGTATTGCCAATCTGTGGCTTCCCCTTTTTGTGACCCAAAATACCATGCAATCCTTATTTGTATTAGTGTGATAGAGACTGTGGTAGCTGAAATATAGATTTTTTAATATAAAATTGTGAATATTTAGGCAGTGTTTTTGATTTGTCTCCAGTCACAGATGAAGGATGTGGCAGATGATATAATATTCCAAACAAACAAGAAGAAACTGGGAGTATGGAAGGTAAATTATCTTAATTGATGAAGCTATTACATGAAGCTATCCAGTGTAATGGAAAAGCAGAATGTTTCCATAAACTGATTGTTGCTAAGACCGCAAAATATAACTACAGGATGATTAAATCTACATTCCTTGCAATGGAAGAGCAGTCTGTATGCAAATTGGGGCCTGCAGCCATGGGAAAGATGTCTGTGCCCACCAGCTTCACGAGTGAATAACCAAACCGAAGTGAAGGGAGCCGAACCCCGTTTGGCTATTCACTTCAGCCGAGTACGGCTGGGCTGATTTCAACCGTACATCAGCTGGCTTTGGCTCCCCTCGGTTCAGCCGAATGAACATCCGGCAGTTCATTCACTGCCATTCGCCCCTTTTCCCATAGAGACCGAACAGCAGTGAGTGAATAGCCGAATGCTGCCTGGCTACCTCAGAGGTAGCGAACAGAATAAAAAAATTACATGTTCATAAAAGAAACCAAAACGGCGTGGGGTTCCCCTCCCAAACCATACAAGACCCTTTAAGTCTGGTAGGACTGTTAGGAGGGACCCCCAGTTAAAAAATTTAAAAAAATAGTACATAAGGTTTCCCTCAAAAGTCATAGCAGGTCCTTTAGGTCTGGTAGGAATTTTAAGGGGGAACCCCACCCCCCAAAAATGGGGAAAAATAATGTGC